GCATACGTAATTCCGCTTAAAAGTTCAGTGGAAACTGTATTCATGAGCCATGACAAGACAATTGCATTATAAGTTTCCCATTGCTCATGCAATTCAGTAGTGAACGAGTCCTTTGTACAAGTGTCAGTCACAAACCTTAATTTCCTCTTTCCTAGAAGGGAAATTTTCATTGTTCTGCTCCATAAACCGTAATTTTCTGATCTTGTAAGCTTCGAAGGAATCAGAACAACACCAGGAGTATCTGATGGCCCAAGGTACTGTGGATGAGTATGAATTGCAGTTTCCGCCATTGATGAGCAGAAAGAGAAAAACGAGCTAATTGAGAAGAAGAAATAGATCACTAGGATAGAGATAGCCAACATCAGTGATTGAGGAGCATCGGTGGCTCTGTTACCATGCTGAAATCTACATGATCTGCCATCAATGAAGGAACAATGAACTAATGAGGATTGTGTGAGCTAATGAGAGGATTGTGTGAAAATAATAACTGCGGATCCTCTTCATTTACAATACCAAATATATATACATATGATATATCTAGCTAACTCCACTAACTCTAATTAACAGGCTGAATCTGTTAATTTACAGCTAGCAACTAACTGAATTCATAACTACCTAACTAAGAATAACTACCTAACTAACAATCTGTAATATCACTTCATAATATCTTTGAAGCTGAAACTGCAACCTTAAATTCTTCAAATTTCCCGGTAATATTTCAACCCATTTATATATCCTTTATCCATTTCATTTAAGTTCTTCAAATTCTTCGTGCTTACATTTTCTGGTCAAAGTTTGAGACTTAGCAAAAATAGCAGCAAAAGATCATTTCTTTAGTATTGTGTGTAAGTTAAATTAAATGGATATTGATGAAATATTTGGGGAGTCCCGGCGGCCCGTGAGTCTACCAAACAAGAGTGCAATTTACGTTTGGGGTTACAACCATTCTAGGCAAACGGGTGGGAAGGACAAAGAGAGGAGTTTGAGGATACCAAAGCAGCTTCCTCCGGAGATATTTGGATGCCCAGCTGATGGGAATTCTTGTTGGTTGGATATTGCTTGTGGTCGTGAACACACTGCTGTTGTCGCCTCTGATGGATCGCTCTTTACCTGGGGTTTGACTTTTTTGGCCTTTTTTTCTGTCATTTTATTAAACATCCATGTTTTTGCTTGTACTTTTAAATTCAATTGCCTGCAATTTTGTTTATTTGGGGTTACGTTCTTGATCATTTACAAACTTAGCCAAAATTTTGGTCTCTTTTAGCCAAGTGGTACTATTTTTTTCTTGGATTACAACATAACTTTGTTTTTTCCAACATAAATTGGGTGGAATGAAGAAAGAAAAACGTAGTCTTTAGTTTGATCGGGCTACCATTGCTCTACTGACATTGGATCAGGCAAGCGACAAATATATCTATAGATCAAAATTGGTTTGAGAAAGAGTTTCGAAGATGTTGTACCACAAGAATATAGGAAGTACACAGATGTAAAACCACCTTCTATTATTTTCTTCTATTCTTTTGTGGTCTTTCTCCATCCCACAAACTAAACCTTTTTCTGGAAGGCAGTAGCAGTGTGGTATTTGTGTGGATTACCTGGATATTGAAGGAACGCAGCTCGCAAAACCTTTTTCCATTGTTGCTTCTTAATGCTTAGTGATATATTTATATATCACATAAGGCAACAATACTATTCCACTAGGTTTAGGAAAAGACTAAAGACGGTGGCCTTATTCCTTTTGCAAGCCATTCCAAAATTGGACATTGCAAAACCTTTTCTCATGGAAAACAAAATCCCATTCCAAATGGGTGTCATGGAAGCCATACGTCCTTTAGGGACTGTGCACGTGACAAGTCTTTTATGGACTTTCTTTGCTACATTTCTTTCTAAATATATATTATTAGGAGGCTCCTTTAAGCCTAGAAAAAACTCGCATGGCATAAGTAGTTAATAATTAGTTATTTAGTTAATAATTAGTTATTGATTATTATTTTTTAATTTAACTATCTATAAATTAATAAAATAAATTATTTTATAATAGAAAATAAAAATTAAAAAAACATTGTCCACATAAAAACATAAAATACTATATATTAGATAATGTAATAGCAATAATTAAAATTTTAAAAATATTTAAAATTAGAAATAGAAGGGAAAGATGATTTGAACTTGAGATTAGATTAAAATTATGGTAAAAAGGCTCAAACTATGGATAGGACCGCAAAATTAAGGTTTTACTAGATAAAGAAAAATAATAATAGGATAACAAATTAAATATTAAGAATATAAAATAAATGTCTCATGTAGATAATTTAATAATGAAAATAAAAGTTAAACTTTTATCGTGAAACTAAAAGAGAAAGAAATTTTAATTGCATGTGATATAAACTAATTATAAAAAAAATACAATAGATTTAAAATTTGCTAATTAAAAAAACTTATGTATTCAATATTTTAGACTAATTCAAAGTTATGACTTAAAATAAAATGTGATATTACATATTTTGATTATTGGTAAAATACTAATATAAAAAACTAATTAAATTTTCATAATAGGGGTAAAAATATATAAAGAGGAAAATAAAAGGGAGTGTGAGAATATTTATACTTTGAATTAAAACATAAAGTGGTAGTAAGAATTTTGTTAAAATAATATGCTCAAACAAGACAAATTACAATGTGATATGTTTAGTACTCTTTAATATCAACCGCGGAATAAATGTAAGTACTAAGATCAAGGATGTTACAAATATAAAAAATAAATATGTTATCCAGTACGAGATATGAGAAATAGTTTTATGTCCTGCTTCTTAATTGGTATCTAATGTAGATTGCATATAATCCAAATAACCCAAATCATAATTTGATATTTGTGTCTGTGCATCGCGCGGGTACTACTACTAGTAAATATTAAAGAAAATACGAATCCCATGTCAAATGGGANAAACTTTAATTTGTTCACAATATTAATTATACTCTCTGTGCTAGCAAAGAATATAATAATATTTCATTTTGACTAATAACTAAATTTATTTAACTAATTAAATTCTTTAATTTAATTAACAAATAATAAAGTAATTAATCCTTTAGAAAAGATCAGAACACTCGTTAGTGTGCGACCCCATAGATTCAATACTAAGCCGGTAGTAAATTGATCACATTAATATACTAATCAAGGGTAGCGTCTAGCAATACTCCTTAACGACTGGATAGCATGAAGTATACAATTTACTCTCAAGAACTCACAAAAGAATAAAATAGTAGTTCATTCAATCCTTATAGCTCTGGGTCACCCTAGGATATGGTTCAATTGTCAAATCCTAATAGGCGACCAACTATGTGTTCATGTCAAATATAATCGACCATTGAATGACCTAAGAAACTCTTTTTCTTCTTTCATTCAATCGCCCTAGCTAAGGTCTTAGTCTGGTCGTTTATAATTCATGACAACATGGAGCTTAAACTCATTACCAAGAGTTGATAGATTCCGTCCTGATCAATCACTAATTCTACAAGCATTTAATCATACCCAATATCCTTTCAACTATCGCCCTAGGGCCATAAATGTCTAGTATCAAAGCACAATAAATAACTTGTCAATTACTATGACGATCTCAGGTCAAAGGAAACTCTTACATCACATTCTTCAAGAGAATATCCTATTGACAGTTTATGGCAATTCTAACCATTAGGAATTATCCAATGAGTCGGTTCAATGATCATATCTCTATATGCATCATCTATCTATGTGTTTTAGTTAATGAGATCAACTAATCTTTATCCAATAAAGACGATCACATAAATATTGATCTAACCAGGTTACTAATGTCCAAATTAATAATCCTATGATCAAGAACAAATTTAGATTAAATTATAAGAAACTTCACTTTCATTATCATGATCTCCATCACAATGTCAGGTCTCAAAATTTAATCAAGGGTCATATCAAGTTAATCAAATAATTAATAATAACTATGATAAAAGAATATCAGATGCCATATATATTTTATGTCAAATAACGTTCACAAAAATATGTTCAAATCATCAATCATGAGATTGGATCTAGGGCATATCTACTATATCCCTAACAGATATCACATTGGAAAAATATCAAGTGCGGCTTGAAAGAAATTAGGAAGTTGGTAGGATTATGTTGATAGCATATCTTCTATTGGTATCTTCCAAATGAATGATGAATTCTCATGTAAACCATGGTATCCTTTATTTTTTCCTGAACATGGTTTAAATCCCTCTCGGCTGGTTAGCCATTTGCTACAAATTGTGTCTTTAAAAACCATTATGCTATTCTTATTGATTAAGAAGCACTCTCCCTTTTGAAGGTTTTCTACCTTGTGGTATATTTCTTGTATACGGAAGCATTTTGGCCCAAAAATTAATAAAAATTATTTACTTCATCGCCAAAAAAACAAAAAAAAAAAAAAAAAAAAAAAAAAAAAAAAAAAAAAACAATCTCCTGCTGGTCAATTACTGCCTTTCTTTCTTGATCTTGGTATGATATCCTTTATTTTCTACTCATAAATTGCCCGTTAGTTGTTTTATGTTAAGGAAGACGTACCACTTTATGCGTTTTAAATTGATGCTGGCAAGCTCATTTTACTTATAAAGGTTACCTCTTTGGGAAGAACCTAGACCTTTTAATTGTAAGACAAGTGATTTCAGACACCTGATCTTGCTTTTGTTTGCAAGGAAGTAGTTTTTTCCTGTAAGAGAGTTGTATTTATCTCTCAGTGCAACGTGGAATAATTTATAGAACACTTCTAATTTTATACTTCCAAACAGGGGCTAACGAATTTGGTCAGCTGGGCGATGGAACTGAAAGCGCTAGGAAGCACAACAAGAAAGTGAAGCAATTGCAATCTGATTTTGTTATTAGTGTTTCATGTGGAGCACATTGTACTGATGCCATTGCAGAACCACGTGAAAATGATGATACAGTGTCTGCTCGGAGACTTTGGGTCTGGGGACAGAACCAGGTCAGTCTCACAAAACCTTCAGATTCAATAGCTACCTTGTTTATTTGAGGTCACTATTTGTTTGTCCATGTTATTCTATGCAGGGATCCAACTATCCACGACTCTTTTAGGGTGCTTTCGCTCCTTCTACGGTATCAACTCTGTCTTGAGAATTAGTTTAGGAGGATACATCTCTGTTCCTCCAGCAAATGCATCACTTCGGTGTGGTACTGGTAGGGCTCAACATGTTTTCTGATATTTTATGCTCTTCCAATTCGTTCAGGTTATCCACCAAGTTTTCTTGTGGTGCTGTTCATGTTCAAATTTGGCTATGCCAGGAAACTCTCATATGTTCTATCCACAGTTTTTGGGGCTCTGTGTTCATTCTCCCACAGAGTGTAGTGAAAGAGGTGGACAGGATCTGTAAAGATTTCCTATGGGGAGGTACAGAGGAGAAGAGGAAGATCTCCCTAGTAGCTTGGGCTAAAGTCTGCTTGCCAAAAAGCTGTGGGGGTTTGAATGTTATAAGGTGTAAGGAGTGAAATAAGGCTTCAGTTGGGATGTTGCTTTGGCAGCTTATTGTGAAAAAAGACAGCTTATGGGTGAAATGGGTACGTGGACTATATATAAAAACAGATTCAAGTATCTGGGCTCATCTGCCCCCTAGGACAGTAGCTGATATTGGAGGAAGTTAAACTATTTGAAGCAGGAAATGCATACTTGGTTTCAGCAAGACCAGTACATTTTAAGCCACTCAGGACAGTACTCAATTACAAAGAGTTACATGGCCATTATTGGAACTCACAGGAAACTAGAAACTGCTGACCTTATTTGGAATGCAATTTCCCAGCCTAAACACAGATTTATTACCTGGCTGGCTTATCACAATAGGTTGCTAACAAGGGAGAGACTACAACAGTTACACATCCCAGTCAATGATACCAGCTGCTGTATGTGTAACGATCAGGTTGATGAGACTGCCCAGCTCCTGTTTATGGAATGTAGTTGGTCAAAAGAAGTGCGAGTTACAGTAATGCAATGGGCTGGTATTAAATTGTCCGGAGGAGATGTGCCCCTGGTTCTAAGGAGTATCAAAAAGGATAAATGGAAGCAATTCAAGAAGTAGTTGCAGCTATTCTGGAAGCAGTCATCTACCACACCTAGAAAGCTAGGAACTGGAAAATTGTTAGAGGAATTAATGTAAATACTGAGGTTACAGTTATACAGATTAAAAAAGAAGTAGATAGGCTGGAACTGTTTAGGAACTCAAAGAAAGCACAAAAATGTAGTGGTTTTTTGCGGGCAATAGCTGTATAGTTCAGACATGCTGAGGCCATTGCTCACAGTTTATTGCGAGGAGATGCTCTTTAGTTTGTAACTGTTCGATTGATATTAATGGTAATTCACAATGTTACCCAAAAAAAAAAAAAAAACAGTGCAATATAATAAGAATTTGAAAAGAAAACTACATATTGTACTAAGAAACATGCGAAATGCATCTGGCATCTCTATATAGATCATCCCAATTATGTGGCATAAATATCTCGACCTTCAATGTAAAACAAAACAGAAACAAATACTGCAGGAACATTAAGTCATCACTAACATTTCTTATACAGACCGTCAAACATCTAGGTGGATTTTATTACCAAATCATAGTATCCACAATATTAACTTATATTAGAGGAATAGCATTGATCCAATATTTCCTCTTACTTTAAGAAAGCGCCACAAGTATCTTTCCAGTGGGCATACAACTTCGCAGCGGCAGACAGACTTCACATGAAGTTGGAGAAGAACTACGCTGTGATATTTGAAGCAGCTTGAAAAGCTCGGATAAAGCTCTCTGGAGGTTGGCCACCACTCAACTGATACTTGCCATTTAACTGCCGAATATAACTGCTTAGTAATTTCTTATTCATGGATTGACATATCGAAAGTGCTCATGGCACAATGTGCTAAGTTGAGTGACATACCACAAAATGTGGAACCCCTGATATATCAGATGAATACTGCTGAAGCTCTTCATTCACCTACACATACCAAAAAATAGCAATATTTACTTGAGATGGTACAAAATTTTGATCTATCTTACTGCTGAACCAGCCCAGAGAAAGAGAGTAGGAGAGAAATAAGGTGTTAAGAATTAGGTAACACGTGATATGAGTGACATGGTCCATCATGGAGCTGAACAAGGAAAGACTAGCCAATACTGTCAAAGTACAGATACCGTTGAGCTTAGCTGTGTGAGAAGTGCTATTATAATAAAAGGTGTCGTCAGCTGTTTCAGAAACAGAAACTACCTGTCCCTCTCGCTCACAAACCTTCCGAGAGAAAGGAAAGAGCAAGAAAAACAGCGGACAGATTCTCCGAGTTGACTATTGAATAAAATTGCGAAACGTACCTCCTTTAGCCCATTGTTTGGATCCTCAAGGAAGTCAGCTGCTCCTTCAACACCAACCTTTCTTGCAGCTTCTACAAGAAATTCCCTTCAAGTGGAAAATCAAATTTTAACACATTAAACTCTAAACGATACACTTTATACCATATACATCACCATATTTAGTATATATAACATCTGATTGTGTTCATAGAGCATTAAAATAAGCAAAAAGGTTTATCGACAGTGATGCATCACTGTAATGATTGATAATTATCATAGTTGTAGTCGACACTGATGACGTCGGACTATCTGAAGTAAAGTTTTCAATATTTAGTGCCGTCCTTAGCAAAAGCACGTGACTAATGAATTGCAACATTACTCTCCTCAAACCTAACCTCCCCACTAACACCCAGGTATTCCAAAAAGAAAAGAAGGAGAAATAAGAGAAAATCAAAGAAATCGATTCTGTTGATTAGGAAAATTGCATGAGCTGGTGATCACTTGAAAAAGCTCATCAGTGACTTTTATTCGCTTGTAAGCTTCATGCTTAGCAAAATATCAGTGTTGGTCATTGAGCCAAGGGGATTATAAAAGGAAGAAACTTAAAAATCGCTACTCCTGAGTCACTAACAACAGGCAGGACGAAAATCCTATAGGAAGGAAAAAGTTAAAAAAGTTGAATTTTGTTACTGGATAACAGAAGTATGCTAATGCAGCAAACCTTACGCTGTCGGGAAGAAAGGCACTAACCTGTCACCTATATACCTTCCCTGTGTGAAATAGCCAAGAAAAAGCTCCTCAGCAAGATTATTTTGCTTGTCAAGCCCCTGTTGTCCTGCGAAATATAGAAGTTTGTGGCTGTCCAAACTACTTCCTCTGCATACCCAAAAAAACCAACCATTCTTTATAACACAAAAGTCTTTTGCACTTCACAGCATTGAGTAAACAAGACACAGACTAATCAGACTTACGTAAGTCCTGACATGTTATATTCCAGCCCAAGGCCTTTAAAAACCTGCATGATATTGAAAAGATTGCAATAAGGCGATTCACACCACAGACAACTTTTCAAGACACATTGTGTGGGCAACAAGAGAAAAGAAGAAAATATGAACCTCTGTCATTCTTGAAGTCATCTGTTCAGAGCGAGGCCCAAATTTATTTCTGTAGTGATCTTTCTTGTTAACCCCTTCTTTAGGCGCAGAAGGGTTGAGAAGATAGGGATGCCATCTAATCTGCAAAACAGAATTTTTCCAGTAAAAATAAAGGAACCGGTTGAAATGGAAGCACAGATAACAGAACCAAACGGCACCTCAAAATCATACTGATCATTGACTAATGCTATAGCTTTATCAAGGTTTCTTTTGCCTACAAAGCACCACGGACAGACAGTATCTGAACTGATATCAATTCGAATAAACTTCTTCGCGCTGTTGGTGGCCATTGATCGATGCAGGAACCTGATTTCATACATTCAGAAACAGGTCATTTTAACTAACCTCATATCGTTCTTCTATTATATGGAATAAATCATTTTAGAATAAAGTGCAGATGTGTTTAGAATAAAGTGCAGATCTGTCCTACCTTATATGACAAAAAGAATTTGGAAGACAGTGCAGCTCATGATCACATGATGATCCATTGTCAAGTTCAGGAAATGAAATCACATCCCCAGATATTAATCTTCTTTAGATTTATCATTTATGTAGGGAACCATGAAAAAGTTGATCACTTTCTAATAGAGTGGGTCATTCTAGCCTTCTGGTGAGCGCACTGCACCCATTTATTTTGGTTCGGACCTCGACAATTCTACATACGCGCATGAGTTAAAAAAAAATGATATATGTGATAGACCGTCTGCGTTCTGATTTCAATAACTCTAAATTTCGCTGCCTCCATTTCAAATTATCGGATGTCTATGGTATAAAGCATGAACTTGACTGCTAATAATGGTTTTACACGTCCAAAAGCAGAAAATTAGAATGGCTTTATCCCTATGCTGAACTTTAAATGATTCTTTTTATAATCGTGGTGTCCGAGTCAGTTTGCCTCGATTTATTCCATGGGTACCAGTTACCTCCTACCTATTAAATTTTAAATCATTCTATCTCAATGTTCTTTAATCTTCAATTATTTGGTCTATAATATGAAGTGAGACGACATTGGAAAATTTTACAGGAAGGAGAAAAAATAAATGTGAATATTTCAAGAACCCCAATTCATATATCCCAAGGAATTGGTACCTTCTTCAAAAAATCTGAAGTTCCAAGATTAATAAACTAATCCACCTAAAAGTTAACATATATCCAGAAAAAGAAACTGCTAGAACATATACTCAAAGCTTCAGTTTCATGAGTATTTCACTTCTTGAACCAAAGCATAACTAAATCAAAATTTGATAAGCTGGAAAATAAAGAGAGGCCAATTTCAGAAATCCGGCGAAGCAAAGTGTTTCTAAATTCTAACACGTATATGGAAAGAAACAAATGGGAAATTGTCAAATTTCAATTCAACCCATTAACTAACAGTTAATCAGAAAGCTTACCTCGTGGAAATTGGGAATTTCGGACAACTTGACGAAAGCATATAAATTACGTACTCACCTTTTGGTCCGAAACTAAAATCACGTCTTCTCCTTATGTTAAATTGTTAATATTCTTTAGATGTTCTTTTTTTTTTTTTTTTTTTTTTTTTTTTTTTTTTTTTTTTGAAAAATGGTTCGTTATTGGTCAATTGTATTAAAAAATACTACAGTCTAGATGTGATGTGAAAATGATTATAAGAAATTCAAAGTCTACGCTATGTACGTAGACGGATTCCGGACTTATGTGAAGTGTGAACCACGTTCAATGATCATCAGTTTTTTTAAAGTAATTTAAACCAATATCATAGTAATAAATATGCTTAAATAAAAAGGTAATTTCCATTGACTGCTATTAATTCCCTTGGTTTTAAACCAAACAAATAAATTTTACAAAAGTTTTACACATCTCTCTTTCCTTATTCATCATGTGATTCAAAGTCAAAAGCAACGAAACGGTATTAGATTTTTTAAATGCTTCATCTTTTCCATATTATGTGAACCTGTTTGATTGGACACGAAGTTTAAGAAAAAATGAAGACTTTTGAAATTTATGGTCTTAAACAAGTCAAAAAGGAGCCAATCGTATTTGTGTGGTTATAAAGGCTTCTCATTAAAGGTAGAATTGTAAGTTTAAGCTAAATTGTTACCAAATTTAGAAATGGGTCATTCTTTTCGAAATGGCCAAAAAAGTAAATAAGTTCACATAAACTGGAATAGATGAAGTATAACATGTGTTTCTTTTAAGGGGAGGATCAACGATAAAGTTGTCTTCCACAAATTCGAACCCAGTGGCGGATGTAGCATATACTCGGCGGGTTCAATTGAACCCATAACTTTCGAATCGTGAAAGCAGCCACTAATGCTTGCATTAGGGTATGCTCTCTGCATCATACCCCTCATGGTGCAACTCTTCACCGGACCCTGCGTGAATGCAAGATACCTTGTGCACCCGATTGTCCTTAATACCGACATAAGATAGGGGTAAGGTATGCAACACACTATACTCCCTGGACCCCATTATATGAGATTACACTGGTTATATTATTATTATTATTAAAAAGTACAATATCACATAAAATGAAATAAAAGACTTATATCAAAATTTTGATCAAATAAAATGAAATATAGAGGGTATATATTAAAGTTGATTTGCAGTTAAAGTAAAAGGTCTAGAAAAATCGGTTGGGGCAAAACGGTCGGGCAGGAATCAGCACTGGTGCCTGCCCCTCCCTTCATCTGTCAACTGCCATTTTCTTTGGAGCTGAAACTGCAACCTTAAATTCTTCAAATTTCCCGGAATAATTTCAACCCCCTTATATATCCTTATCCATTTCATTGTCAACTTCTTCGAGCTTATATTTTCTGGTCAAAGTTAGGGACTTGGATTAATTTCATTTGCAAAAATAGCAGCAAAAGATCATTTCTTTAGTATTGTGTGATTCATCAGGTCAACTTTTCTTCTTGATAAGTTAAATTAAATGGATATTAATGAAATATTTGGGGAGTCGCGGCGGCCCGTGAGTCTACCAAATAAGAGTGCAATTTACGTTTGGGGTTACAACCATTCTGGGCAAACGGGTCGGAGGGACAAAGAGAGGAGCTTGAGGATACCAAAGCAGCTGCCTCCAGAGCTATTTGGATGCCCAGCTGGTGGGAATTCTCGTTGGTTGGATATTGCTTGTGGTCGTGAACACACTGCTGCTGTCGCCTCTGATGGCTCCCTTTTTACATGGGGTTTGACATTTTTGGCCTTTACATCCTTCATTTTCAATATCCATCTTTTATTTTGTTTGTTTGGGGTTGCTTTTCTTGATTGATCATTAACAAAATTTGCCCAATTTTTGGTCTTTTTTTCGCCAAGTACGTTTTTTTTTTTTTTTTTTTTTTTTTTTGTGTGTGAGTTACAACTTCAAATGTCTGCATATTTTGTGTTTTTTCTTGACATGAATTGGGTGGAATCAAGAAAGAAAAACATAGTCTTTAGCTTGATCAGGCTATCATTGGTCTGGTGACATTGCATCAGGCAACATACAAATAAATCTATCGATCAAAATTTGTTTGAGAAAGAGTTTTCGAAGATGCTATACCCCATGAATGTGCTAAATACATGAATGTAAAACCAACTTTTATTGTTTTTCTCTTCTGTTTCTTTTGTGCTCTTTATTTCATCCCACGGACTAGCGTTTTTGGGAAGGCAGGAGCAAAGAGTGTTTTGTTGGTGGTACTTGTGTCATTGTGTGGATTACCTCGACATCCCATTGCAAAATATCCAGGTGTGGGTTGAAAGAAATTAAGAAGTTGGGAGGACAGATCATGATGATAACAAATCCTCTATTGTCTTCTTCAAAACAAATGATGAATTCTCATGTAAACCCCGTTATCGTTTATTTTTTCCTGAACATGGTTTAATTCCCTTCGGCTGGTTAGCCATTTGCTATAACTGGTGTCTTTGAAAGCTATTACACTATTCTTACTGATTATAAAGGACTCTCCTGGTGGTCATTTACTGCATTTCTTGCTTGATCTTACTATGTTTTTGTGTATTTTCTACTCAAATAAATTACCTGTTAGTTGTTTTATGTTCCTTTAATCAAAGAGATATGCTGCAAAGAAGACGTTGCCACTTTATGCGATTTAAGTTGATATCGAACAGTTCATTTTACTTGTAAAGTTTACCTCTTTGGGAAGTACCTAGACTTTTAGTTATTAGACAAGTGATTTCAGAAGCTTGGTCCTGCTTTTGTTCGGGAGGAAGTTGCTTTTCCTGTAGGAGAGTGGTATTAACTTCTCATTGCGACATGAAATAATTTATAGAACGCTCCTAATTTTTATACTTTCAAACAGGGGCTAACGAATTTGGTCAGCTGGGTGATGGAACTGAAAGTGCTAGGAAGCACCCCAAGAAAGTGAAGCAATTACAATCTGAATTTGTTATTAGCATTTCATGTGGGGCACATTGCACTGCTGCTATTTCAGAACCACGTGAAAATGATGGTACCATGTCAATTCGGAGACTTTGGGTGTGGGGACAGAACCAGGTCAGTCTCACAAAACCTTCAGATTTAACAGTTACCTTGTTTATTTGAGGGCCCAGACCCCACTAGTGGGATTATACTGGGTTGTTGTTGTTGTTGTTGCTTGTTTATTTGAGGTCACAATTCTTTTACCCATATTATTTAATGCAGGGATCCAACTATCCACGACTCTTTTGGGGTGCCTTTGCTCCTTCTACGGTATGAACTGTGTCTTGAGAATTTGCTTTGGAGGATATTTCTCTGTTCTCGTGCAAATGTATCACTTCTGTGTGGTACCAGCTGGGCTTAACCATTTATCTAGTTGCATTTATGTTATGGTAGCAGTCTTACTTTTTCCTGAAGTCTATCTGATCTACGCCTACAAGCTTTTTCTTTTTTGTATGAAGTTGCTAGCCATCTAAAAGCACGGTTTTTATTGGGTTGAGGCTTAGGTTTGATCAAGTTTTAAATAATCATTTTTTGTGTTGTGTGCAAGCATATTTACATTTGATATTTTGCAAACAGATTTATTGGTTATTACGTGCAAAATATTTATCATGAATACACCATATGCATGTATAACTTATATACTTTGGTTATTACGTGCAAATGATTTAATTCGGGGTCTCCTTATACAAGAAGCGACTTGGCATCGCATTGTGCAACAAGTTTTCTGGTATTTATATGCTCTTCCATTTTGTTCAGGTTATCCGCCAAGTTTCTTGTGGTGCTGTTCATGTTGTGGCTTTATCAGAAGAAGGCTTACTGCAAGCTTGGGGTAATTTGCACTTTCTTGATTCACCTGTATATACCATTCTATGCTTAATATATCCTCCCGGTAATTTTGATGAAGTCGTTGAATAAGTGTATGGATCCGTGTTTTTTATTTCTATTTTTCATGTGTACATTCTCTATCAGCTTACACAGCGATAGAGATAAAAACATATTGTGTCATGTGTTAATGAAAATTTTGTCACTGCTCTGGTAAAGCAGGCTATAATGAATATGGTCAGCTTGGGAGAGGTGTTACATCTGAAGGCCTTCAAGGCCCTCGTGTAATTAATGGATATGCTAAATTTCTCGATGAAGCCCCTGAACTTGTGAAGATTACCCAAGTGTCATGCGGGGAATACCATACTGCAGCTATATCAGAGAAAGGCGATGTGTAAGTGTTCATTGGACCTTTCTTGATGGAGATAAGTTTTGATGCTAAGCATGAGAATTGTGGTTATCCGCATGGCACAAGTGGAGGTGGATGTCAGGGAAAATGAACCATAAAGATACACACTACTTGATTTGCAGGATTTGTTTTGCCCATTTGTGAAACTTCTCTTATTTTCTTTTGAATCATCGAAAGCCTGGTCCTTGCTAAAATATTACATTTGCGAGCATGACTTCTGGTTTCAATTACAGGATTTTGTTAGACAGTATTCCTAGAAACTACCACATCCATAAACACACACACACACGCACATTAAAAGAAGAGAGATAGAGGCTTAGAGCAGAGGGACCTCGCCCACAGTAGAACAACTACACGTTAAAAAGCTGTAGAAGATACTTATCAAAAAAGAAAAGCTGTAGAAGATTAGAGTTTAGTTATTTCAGTTTCCAATTTAAGAAGGAATCTTTATCACAAAGCTCTTTGAGATAAGAAATTTCCTTCCAAAGGACCCCTTATAATAGCATACTATCATTTGTGTATGCCATAGTAAAAGCTAAGTTCTCGTCCTTGCTTGTTCTTTCCTATGTTGATAGGAATTTATGGTAAAAATTGAACTTTTTTCGTGTTATGGTGAAAACCCCCAACCCCGCTCCCACGAACGTTCTTAACTAGAATCCAATGATGACCCTTTCCGGTGGTCAAGAAAACTCCCAACCACTTGGTAAATGCTCTTGCCACTACTGCAACCTTGCTTGTCAGGTAAAAATTAAAGTTTCTGAGTCATTGTGGGTCTGAGTTAGTCATTGACCCCTCATCAAATGAATAAGAAGCATCACTACATGTATCTTCATGATGATCTGCCATCTCTCTGTTGTACCGCTCATTAACCTTTTTGGACTTAACGACCCACAGGGCTAGTGGACTAAAGCTGATAAATTTGTTCCAAGGCTTTTTTTTTTGTTTGATTTCTTATATTTCATTGGAATCTTTGCTTTCATTTAGTGCCTTTTTTATAGTGAAGAATTAAAAGCTGTGTCAAGGAATGACGTTGATGTAATGAATTTCTGTTCTCCAAATTGAAAACTGCATTACCTGGTCTGCTTCTTGGATTGACCATTTGACTCTTCGCTTTCACTTTTTTCTGCTCTTTCTTTTATTCCTTGAAGTATCATACCACTTAGTGATGGTTGTGTTTTACTCATCAACAGCTGCTATAGATCATGTGATTTCTTTTCTGCTTCCCCGTCCATTTCGTATGATTTTGATGCTCGCAGACTTATCTTAAAGTCATTTTGACTATCTACAGCTATACATGGGGACTGGGAAGCATGGGACAACTTGGGCATTGTTCCCTTCAGTCAGGTGACAAGGAACTTTTACCTAGGCGTGTAGTTGCCCTTGATGGCATAATTATAAAAGATGTTGCCTGTGGTGGTGTTCATAGCTGTGCCGTGACTGCAAAAGGGGCTCTTTATGCTTGGGGCGGTGGTCAGGCTGGACAATTGGGAGTTGGTCCCCTAAATGGATTCTTTTCATGCAAACTCAATGAATCTGAGATGATGCTCCGGAATATACCAGTTTTGGTTGTTCCTGATGGTGTGCAACTTGTTGCTTGTGGGCATTCACACACACTTATTTCTGCTAAAGATGGACGAATACATGGATGGGGTTACAATTGCTACGGTCAAGCGGCTAATGAGAAGTCGACATATGCCTGGTATCCGTCACCAGTTGATTGGTATGTTTCATGAGAGCCTATTGCTTAACTAGGTCTTGAAATTTGTTTGATACAATGTCATTTCTAATTCAAGCACTGGTTTTTTCAGGTGTGTTGGGGAGGTCCGCAAAATGGCTGCTGGTGGTGGACATTCAGCAGTGTTGACAGATGCATGTTCGCTGAAGGAGTTGTGCGAGTTTCAGCTTGCAGAAACTGTGAATGTATCCAATGCTTTGGAGGTTGAAGATATTGCCTCGAGAACAGGAGCTGATGCTTTAGCACGACTTTGTGAAAGATTGAGGTAGAAATACTAGTGAAGCATATATGCTGTTGAATCCTTCTATTTAAAACAGTTGCTGGTTCTTTCAAGGTTTAAAACCTCGTCTTATTATAAAGCTTCCTTGCCTTCCTCGTCCTCTTTGTCGGGCATCTTCTTTTTCTCCTTGTTTATGCTGCATCATTGTCTCAGCTCTTTTTACAACAATTACTGGGTCAACCCCAAGAAAGTGGGGGTCGGCTATCTGAATTCTCATTGTCGTAACTTTTTTCATCTCTTTGTTTGCATTTACAGGGAGCATTACTACAATGATGACGAGTATGGTACGTGAAGCCATTGATAGTGTCAAAGTAATATCACGTACTCCCCAGTTGGGGTTGAATCTTGAATTCGTGTAATTCAATAGTGAGAACGCCCATTATTTCTTCATCACATGTATTATCTCGTCGTAGTGTGGTGCTTCATTATTAGATTGGCAGGTTTTAATTGGAAATAAATTGTATATGGTAATAAACGTGTACATTTAACCCAACTCTAAATTAGTTAATATTTTTGAGAAAATTCCGTCTTCAGTTCGCCCCCTTTTTTTACGTTAGTGCGATGTGATGCTCGAGTTTCCATCTCGTGAATATGTTAATTTGAATCAATTTGTTCTATTTGGAATTATCTTTTTGGATTATAAAAGTTTCATGTTTGTTCTTTCTCAGATAACTGGAGTACTTTTGAATGGAAATCATTTGTTGGTGTTAATACTTTTGGCACTTTGGAAGCTAGCAAACAATATCTCATTAGCAAAATTAGTGTTCAACCTGAATGTTTTACTTGCTATATTTTTGTTCAATTACGGGTTTTATATATATATATATATACTAATAACATTAATAATTTCTGCTCGCTCTGTAACGCCTTTTGTCACTGTTATGACGACTTCAATTTGGGATTTTTAGCTAATTATACTAACATTAATAATTCCTGCTCACTCTGTAACGCCTTTTGTCACTGTTATGACGACTTCAATTTGGGATTTTTAGCTAATTATACTATATTAGAAACTTAATTACCTATCTTCTCTATGTTTTGTAGTTTTTAATAAGTATATAGGTTTTTCTTACCAATTATGTAGATTGCTCCTTAAAAGGCTCACACTCCATTATTAGTACCTTCAATTAAGAGATTCAATTACATCATTTTCTTTTTTTCTTTTTCCCTCTCCTCTTCTCTCTCCTCCTTTTTTTTTTTTACATCAAAATCCCTTAATTTACTCCCAGAATTTTCATCTTCTCTCTTCCCATCATTCCCGACAACTTTATATTATTAAAAAATCATCAATTGTATCGTTCTTTTGCTGGGAGATTAGACAACACTGAAAATAAAGAAATATTCAGGAATTGTATGATAACTATATCATAATTGTATTTGAATTGTATCAGATACATCAATGCATAAAACACAATTGTATCATATTTGTATCACAATTGTATCTATATATATGGTACATTAATACCCAAAATAATACCCGATACAATACTAATAAATTAATATATAATTATCATATATTTGTGATACAAATTGTGAAATTCGTCACGAACTCACAACTGCTCGTAACAATATACAATGAATATACAATTATCATACATTTATAATACAATTCCATCAACAATTATGATACATATACAATTATAATACAATCGTGATACATTTCTGAAAAATTGTGATACAATTATGATCTTCATCTTCTTCAAGTTTCAATCACAACTCTACACTAAAATCTAATATAATCGTACTATAATTGTATTAGTATTATATCAAGTATTGTTTTGGGTATTGATGTATCATATACAAGTCACATATAATAAAGATTTTAGAAAGAAAGAAAACAAGATTCAAAATTTACCCACAACTTGATTCTAGAGCAGTATTCTGAATTTCGTTTGCATTGTATCAATAAAAGAGAGAAATTTTGGGTGATTAGTAAGAAAAAGGAAAATTGGGTTTGAAAAGCTTTGGAAAAGGGAAAAGGAAAAAAATCTATAATTTTGGGGGTAACAATGGGTATAAGAAATTAAGAGAGATTTTGGGTGATTATTAATAGAGAAAATATTTTTAAAATTCTTTGGAAAAAGAACATAATCTTAAATGTAGGGATTATTGGAAATGAGGGTGAGTGTCATGTGACTGATAGGCTAAATTTAAGAGATCTTGAATTTTCTTCTTTTTTATGATTTTGTATATAACTTGTAAATATAGATATATAAAGTAACTAATAAAGAATCTAAATAAAGCTGATAAATAGGTTTCTATTATAGTATATCTAGGTCAAATTAAGCTCGGCCCATCTTTTCAACATGGCAAAAAGGAGCTGAAAATTGGATCGTCTAAGGAGATGAGAAAAATGAAAGTATGCTGGTTTCTCAATCGATACTTCTTTTGTTCCTCGGACTAGGTCCCTATTTTAATTACTTGAGGACCTATTGAGGTTAATATTTACCCGACAGAGATGTAAAAACAATTGCCAAAATTATACAAACTTAGAAATCATTTGCAACAACAACATAGCTAGTATTATTCTACATCTAGAAGAGTAGTGTGTACGCAGACCTTACCCCTACCTTGTGAGAATAGAGAGGTTGTTTCCAATAGACCCTCGGCTCAGAAAAGCATAAGCACTATAGACAAAAAGAGACAGTACAAAAAAGACATATAAAAACAACAAGACAGTAAGGTGATCAACAAAAGAATGTAAATAAATATTTACTGAGTATAACTAAAAGCTTATTACCTTATGGTCTAACCTTAATTTCTTAATCTTTCTGTGCTAAAGGAATATATTTCAGATACACTGCCAGTTTAACCTTCTTAATTGACAAATAAGGAAACTCAAGAAAGGGAAAAAAAATGAAGGATGAGAGTTTTATTACGTATATCATATGCTCTAAAAAAGCGGCTGAGATAAGGCTACATTTATCATTCATGGCGATAATGATCCATACCATACAAGCTGGAAAATGAATTCATTGTTTGGAACATATACAGATAGACATGGACAACTATATTAATCTAGCTGTTGCAGAAGCAATGCCTACGTACTGTCGTGTGAGCGATCGAGTACATCTACAACACAGCCAATATTACATCTTGTTTTCACCCTTCTGTGTTGACATGGCGGATCATCCATGGCGGCACCAGGGAATTAGAACCATAGCGAGCTTGACCTCCATCTGTGTTCCTTACCCTTGTTGCTTCAAATGGTCCACTGACATTATTTATAAACTTTGATTATTTATCAGTTTTTGATATTTAAAGAATTTCACAATGGTTTCACCAAACTTTATGTAGTAGTACATGTTTTAACACAAAACTGTAGGATTTTATTTATATATTCTAATATCTTATAACCAACTTCACAACTATAAGTGTTAGTTAATAAATTGTAGCATTATTTTTCAAGTTACTAATAATACCATATATTGTCGATGAACATTGTCACATGTGTGTGTGTGTGTGTGAGAGAGAGAGAGTACCCAATTGTTAGGTTAGGAAGTTGGTGAGATTGTGGTGGAGGCTGCTGAGGTAGCATAAAGGTTGCTGAGTTTTGGCCTGAATTGGGTTGTGTTTGCCCACTTTGCATCTTCTCTTTGTCTTTCAGCTGTTTTCAGTTCAAATGTTTAATGAGCACACAAGGATACTACCGAGTTGAATTTCGACATGTAACATCAATCTTAAGATGTTAGGAAACAGGTCGTACGTGGTGTACCTTCTTAGTCATCGAATTGTTTTGTTCTTGCAGTGCTTTCTCCTGCCATAATGTGCAAAACTAGTCAAAACCCTCAGCTCATAGTGGAAGATTTATTTGCATTATAGATATAGCAGATACAAAAGTGACAGTACAAATGTTATTTTTTTAAAAATATTCTATGGTAGCAGAATTATAATAAGTATAACTAGACGGAGTATCATTACCTTTTTCTGCAGCTCAGAAATGGACTCGTGCATCAGTTGGTTCTGCATATTCAAGCGACATACTTGTTGAGAACTAGCTTATGCCAATATTATAACAATAAAAAAATTTATTTCCATTCGTTGACAGTGTAGAATATTTACACTGTCATGTTACTTTAAAAGAAACATGTAATCGTTATTAAAAACTAAAATTAATAATCTGGAAAATAAGACGTGTGCTAAAACATGTTATATATACGGAAAATGTAAAAAATAAATTCAGTGTCAGTATATAAGTTTAATCCCAGTACGTAATTAATAAGCAGCCGGAACTAATGCTACTCATTTGAAGTTTTAAACTATGCTATTGTTGGTGTATAATGCTCACCTTCCTGCTTCGTATTCGCTTCAATGCTGTATCAATCTGTTGCTCTAAACTCTGTAGCTCTCTCAAACTAAGAGGGTCCAGATCCTGGCCCGTATAATGCCTACAAATTTTGAAGTAAACACAGATTTTATATGACTACAGCAAGAATTAATGTTACTCATGTGAAGTTTTAAACTTGCTACTCGTGTGAAGTTTTAAACTATGTTATTCTTGGTTTTGTATACCAAACTCATAATTATAAATTCAGTAGAATCTGGTCGTGTAACACTATATATGAATACTTGTGCTTGATCTTAAAAGAAGTAGTACCTTATGTTTCTTTGTATAAGTTCAATCCTTGACATGAGCTTCGGGTACTCCAGAGTCCAATTTTCCTACAATAATGCATCAATAGAGTCAATATATAAGGAAAACCAAGACTAGAAAATAAATAAAGAGAGCGGATCTCAGTAGGCGTTTAGACAATATCTCAATAGAACTTAAAAGAAGAGTATTTGAAGCTGTAGTAGAAAAAATTATATTGTGGAAGTTGATACTGTGTTCTAAACATGACGAACTTTGCTGGGAAGAAAGTTTGTGAAAGTTGAAAGTTTGTGATTGCAAAACAGTATTTCACTTGAAATATAACTTTAAATAAACTAATATATATTTCATGAAGTTTAAAATGTGCCAATTAGTATTTACAAGTACTCTTTCTCTAACTTCCAAATGAGGGTTTCAGAATCAGGGCTAGCTCATGGTACCACTTTTTTTATTGCCAACAATGACAAAACTCAACGGACAAATCAAGAAAAAGAAAAAAGTTAAGCAAAATTATGAAGTATTTGCGGATTACCATGGGATCAGAGTCATTTGCATTCAACTTTCTCTCTGCATATGAGTAGCTTTCATATCTTTCCAGAATATTTTCCATGCTACACAGAAAACACTTTGAAGATCAACAAAGAACATAAGAAAGTAGAAAAAAAGATGGAGTACAAAAATTAAAGTTTAGAATAAACCAGGCCACTGGAGGAGAAACTATCAAAAGGAATGCCCTTCCCTACACATTCTCAATCTTAAAATCTCTTCTTTTTTTCTACATAAGATTGAATTTAACTGTAGATAGTTGCCTTGAGATATCACTGAGACAAAATAGAAAGGAGTGGAGGACGAGAATTAGGATAAAAGGTTAGTATGTAGTTGTGCATTTTTCTTATCCATACCAGTAGTATTAGTATAATTAGTATTAGAATTGTATGTTCTTATATTTAGATTTTTATTACTACCTTATGTTTCTTTCGCTTCGGATTTCTTGCTACATTGTTGATATTTACTACCGGTTGCTACTACTTGTTTTTTCATCTTTCCTTGAGTCGATTATCTATCGGAAGCATCTTCTCTACCTTCTCAACGTAGGTTAAGGTCTGCGTATACACTATATATCCTTCTTAGAATCCACTTGTGGGATTAAATTGGATTTTTTATTATTGTTGTTGTTGAAATGGGAAGCAATGTTATCGAATGACTCCTTGCTTTCGAGAGGCAATCAGATAGAATCTTCTAGTTCTGGTAGGTTGAGGAGAGCTCTAAACATGTTTGGGTAATTCGTTTAATTTTCTTAAAGGAAATTTGATTCTCCTTATGTTGTTGCTAGGTACCATTGAAGGCAAGGAAAAAAGACTTTCCTATCTTTGTCACAAAGATACTTGGTACTCGCAAAGTGATACGACATGGTTTAGCGATGACAAATGAAGAGGTTTTTATATTTTGCTTCGTGCAATACAAAACAATATGTATAGAAACGATCTCCTGTCACAGTTAGTTTTAACTAGGTTAAGATTAAACTTATATATATGATAATAGTACAAAAACTCTTACACTATCATTGTATTTTAACAAATTATTGCAAATTATCTACCTTTTTTTTGAAATTACTAATCTCATTTGTTATTAGGAGTAATATTTACATATGATTTTATTTTTCAGGTAATTTAATAATGTAATTTTTTATACTATGTGTTGAACTTAAACTGCACATAAGATTATATATGATCCCACGCGTCACTGAGAGAGTTCCTCGTATTAATAATGAATGAACTGACAAAGAGGCACAAGGCTCTAGGATCTCCATTTCAGACACAGATTGTCTTGGTCTCGCCTAAATTCAACACTCTCTTAACATTAAAGGTGAAACGCTCTTCGTCAGCTTTTTCTTTAGTCTGACTTTTTTCTCCCTTTATTCCGATTTGAATTTCCAAATAATCAAAAGCTCCCCAACAAGCTACAACTTCTCAGTTCTTTCAGAGACAAACAGACTAAAGAGTAAACAGTACTGGGGTTGAATATCAGTGTATAACACAGGAACATTGATGGTTAATTACATCTGACAATATATAGTTGTACTTCTAAATCTCTTTTCTTGGTGCATGTGATTTATAAGTGCAACGTAATAATGTCAAAAATTGTCTAAGAACGAAAGTACCAACATGACAACCTGCAAAAAGTTTGAAGCATAGAAGAAGTAACATATTTATGTGGTTAGGAATTAAGGTAACATCAAACTGTCTTTTTGTTTTACCTTTCTGGTTGGTTCGTCTGACATAAATAAGCTTCAATGCTTTGTAGATTAAGAACTCCGTCACTTTTCATTATTACGTATAAGATACATGGCGATGGCTCAAAACGAAGTCATCAATCACTTAAACTTTAGTACTCTAGTGAAATTGGTATAAATCGCACATAATGATAAAAGGGTATAATGATTATATGAGAAAGAAAATAATGAGTTTAACTGAACATAGAGAAAACTTTTGAAATTAGTGCATGACTGCATCAACGGTTCGAGTCGGTAATTAGTTTAGGAAATATATATCATACTACCAATTTTTAGTGTATAACCAGAATTAGATTATTTTCTTTAATCTCCCGTTTCTCTTTGGTATCTTTGAGTTTGATTTAATATTCGGTACAAGATAAAAGTTAAGGAATACCTGGACTCAGATGAGTACTCAAAGAGCTTGCCTTTGGTGGAGAAAACAATCAAGGCAACATCAGCATCACACAAAACGGAGATCTCATTTGCTTTCTTCAACAATCCAGAACGCCTCTTTGAGAAGGTGACTTGCCTGCTGATCTTGTTCTCGATCCGCTTCAGCTGAACCCTACCTCTTCCCATGGAAGAATTTCAAATATGGTGATGGTCAAAACAAACAAACAAAAAATTATATTTATTTGGAAGCAACAAAAGTGAAGAAGAAAAACCCTAAATCAAAAAGGAGTTTATTCCTCAAGAAAGAAAGTGGTAGAGAATCAAGGTTATGGGTGATTGATAATTATTCAAAGGTTATAACTAATTGTATTCCTAAGTATTATTGAATCATGTCGGCTGCCATCTTGGTGCATTTAAAGAATTTGGCGGATACTAAGGTTGGAAAAAGAGAGGACCAATTAAGGTTGTCCCTTACCATGTAAATGATGAAAAGAGTTGTGTTTGGATTAGTGAAATTAAATTAGGAAGTATATGGAGAAGAAACACGAGGACAAAGGTGTAGGGGTTGGGGGGTGTCTGAATTGAATGAAATGAAAGGGCAACAAAAGATAAAGTGAAAACAAGAGTGGTTTGGGGGTTGTTGTGTTGTCGAGTAGTGATTGGATAGGATACAGTGCAGTGCCTGGTAGTTAATGTCTCGTTTAGGGCCACAGGTTTTTGGTACAAACCACAAGACAAATACAGTAATTGGGGGGGTCATTTCTTAGTACTTCCTCTATATATGTACAGTAAGAATTGGGGCCATTCTTAGTCACTGACTACTTCTATGTGCAGTTTTTTGTATACTTGCGTTGACGGGCGCTTTTTCGTCCTTCTCACATTTAGTATGTATCGTTCTCCGTTAAGGTCCCAGGTCATAGCATACACAGCTTTTACTCTTTTCCCTATGTACTAAAATACGGGATCCAAGTCTCACATACTTATGACTTGTACATTATATCGTGGCCATTCTTCCCTCTCTTTTTTCTTTGATCCACAAATCTAAGTAGGTTTCGAGTTTTGCCACAAGTCTTTCACATTGCCCGCAGGGTTGCACTACTAGAAATTCGGCAAAAATCGATCAAGGTTTGGTCGGTCAAAAAATCGACCAAAAAACCGACTATTTTTGAGTCCCGCAAAATTTATTTTTCAAGAAACCGACCAACTTTGGTCGGTTTTTCAATTAAAATAAATAAAAATTAATATTAAAAAAACCGACCAAAATTGGTCGGTTAATTCGGCCGGTCATTTAAAAAAACCGACCAACTTTGGTCGGTAATTTTACTTTTTACTAAAATCGACCAACTTTGGTCGGTTATTTTCGTGCGAAAATACAATTAAAGAGTATAAATCAAATAAAAGACAGTCTTAAAACAAAATGCACCAATGGTCTAGTGGTAGAATAGTATCTTGCCACAGTACAGACCCCGGTTCGATTCCAAGATGGTAAATCTTTTTATTACATAATTAAAATACCGACCAACTTTGGTCGGTTTTTTTTTGCAATATTTTTTTTTTGAATTTAATTGACCGACCAACTTTGGTCGGCATGTCTTTCCGACCACAAAAATACCGTCCACACGTAAATGGTCGCGTTTTGGTCGGTTTTTGGCCATTACCGACCAATATTGGTCGGTTTTTACCGGATTTCTAGTAGTGTTGGTTGAGTGATCTGAGATTGATTCTCCTTACCAACAACTTGGGATTGATTTCCTTACCAGCAGTCTCCTCAGTCAAGAGCTTGTCGCATTATGTTTGCCTAATTAATGCAGTTTACATCTCATGTGCAGTTTGTGAGCTTTTACACAGTGAGCAGGTTATTCAGTGCGCACCCAAAGGGTAGCAACTGCAAGTTTTCTTAAGAATTTTCTAACGTTAGTAAGTTAACTTAACTTATGGCAACAGATAACTCTTGGTAACAATTTTGATATGATAATTTAAAAAATATATATGTTATATACCCAATTAAACTGTATTGGCAGTTTAAACGTTTTCTACATCAATGTGTATAATTTAAACTCATTTTTCCATGCATGACTTAGAAGAATTTAGGTTAAATACATTAACAATATGGAAGCTTTTACACTTACAGTGAATTTTGACCTGTGATGGCATAACATTTTTACTATGTAACCAATTAATACTTATAAGTAAGTGATCTGACTGTATCTTATATACATTGTCAGTGCAAAAAATTAAAAATCGACTTAGAATGATTTTAAGATAAGCTAATTGTGCCAAAACTTCTTTGCATAATTAGAAACTATTTATGCAATCAGAAATAAATAACTTAGGATGGCATTATCTTGTTAGATAGTAAAAGATTGGATTTAGTGAATTCTAGTGTTATGTGTTGTTGACTGATCTAGCGGTTATTTCCTTTGGAGGGAAAAGTAGTACAAGTATTATTCGGAAGGCTGAATTCTGATAATAAATAAATGTTAAACAATTAGATCATTGTATGAAAAGAAAAACTACAGGATCTTCCATATCAAAGAAAAACACTCAAGCAACACTTTATTTTACAGGGAGAAAAATGTAACATGGAATCAGGAAAAATTATCACAACTTCAGTCAGAATAACTTATATAATTATAGTTTGTTAATACATTGTTGGTAAATTTTCTTAATGGGGCAGAAAAGGGAGTTCTTTCCAGTTCATTTTAGTTTCATTTCAACTTCAATGGGCAAAATGCTGGAGGGAGATATAATCGAGTTTTCGTTTTCTGTTATAAAAAAGAATATGGTAAGTGGAATGGTCCGAGGAAGAATTGTAAAACAAAATGGTATAATTACTTCAGCAAGCACGTTAAAGACGAATGTGTTCATTATAGTAAAGAAAAGGAGTATTTATTAAATCAATTACTTAAATAAGGAGTGCTGTATAATAAAGAATGATAAAAGGTTGGTCAGTTTGCTACAATTTTTGCATTACTAATAATTATGAAAAACAATTGTTACATGAAAATCAAAATAAAGGAAGTAAGTATAATATCTTAAATTACAAGGGACGTTAATGTTATAAACTAAACTTGAAGGAAGGTGTCTCAAGTTCTCGCTAGAAATTAGTATTCTAATTAATGGATTTTATGGTATATATGGAATTAATTAAGGAAAGAATTTCAAAATAAATTCCTTAAAATTCTAAAATTTTCTAACTCGTAAGCTTTCTCAATGCTCCAAACCTTGTTCAGAAATCTCTCCACTTGGAGGTATTTTGCAGCATTTCCTTTGAAGTGGGTCAAAATGATATTTTATGGACATGATTTGAATTTTGAAGTCAAACTTTAATAAGAAGCTTAAAGATAGCTTAAGATACTAACAGAAAATGATAAATTTCACAAATTACAACATTTCAATTTTAATTTAATCTTAACCAAACAGGACAACGAAGATCAGAGGAATTGCAAACTCATAACCTTTCTTTTGATGTACAATCAAACAGGCAACAAAGATCCAAAATTTGGTCTAATATCAGAAAACATGAAATTAAGGAAATGAAAAACGAATCCTTAGCAAGAAATTAAGGAGCCTAAAATATCTAGCTAAGAGTGAAAAGTAAATTGATTGTACTAGTTATTGAGAGAAAGGGAGAGACATATAAATTTATTAATAATTATTCGGAGGCTGATAGATACTGACATACTGGTTGTATTTGTCATTGATAGTAATTTTTGAGGCCTTGATTTTTATTTAACCAACACTGGGATTTAGTGACTCGGGGTCTGAATCACCCCTGATTATGAACAATAGATTTACTGAGTGCCCTTTTATAATTAATTGAAGCTCTATATTAGAAGCAAATGAACTTCAATAATTTAAAAATTATGAGTCCATCACTAACAAGAATATAGCGAAACAAATAAACATATCAATAGTTGAAGCAAAGGAGATATCACAGACTCACAGTATATAGTGTATATTATTAGCAATAAGCAATTATGTAATATTAAATAAGTCAGCAATTTGTTTTGTTTTTTTGCTTGTAATCATCAGTCAAGTACAAAATATAACGACGAAAAAAGAGAACAGTTGGCACGCCTGCTCATCAAAAAAGAAGAGGGAAGTGCTTATAAGCTTTGGTGGTCCATATTTTCTGTAGGAAATAAGGGTCACTTTTTGTATTCCTGTAACCGAGATAAAATTTTCTTTGGATTTAATTAATTAGCTGTAAATATATGTACTAATTAAGTTTCTTCGAGTCCTAGGAACAAATTGTTTCCTACTAAGATACTCCACGCGTTACAAACAGAGGCGAATCCAGAATTTAAATTTTAGGAGTTCAACTTTTAAAAAATTTAGTATTGAATCAATTATATTTTTAAAGTTATGGGTTAATCTCTATTATTTCTGTAATTTTAATAAATTTTTATTTCATGTCGAAAGTTATGAGTTCAATTGAATCCGTCGATTATATGCTACATCCGCCCCTGGTTACAAAAATAAATTTAGAATCATTGGGGACCATGATATGCAAACAGACACATTTGTTAAAATACTTATATAGTACAGTAACAACTAGTTTTCCAAATCCTCCAAATTTTCGTTTAAGTGGGGGGACCATGACATAAAACCAAAAAGAGCTATTTAAATTATAAAAAAGTAATATAAAATAAATAAATTATATGCGAAAGGACGACGAAGCATTAGGAGTGATAGAGTTTTTTTGTTTTATAATAGTGTCTGTATACTGATTTAGAAGAGACATTATTCCGTTAATTCTGTAATACATTCAAATCTCAGATCCCTACTTTACTCTGTTGCTTTGATAGAAGACATTGTATCCCTTGTTCTTAAGATGAGAAGACAATCTAAATCAATGTACTTTTTTCTTATTTTTAATTAGTGGTGAATTAATTATTAGTAACTTTTTTCTTTAGAAAAGGGCGAGTAAAAATATCGTATTAGTATATTTGGCCTTGTTAACTCCTGCAAGGACAATTTGGTGATCTAGAGATCACTCGAATCCCATTGGTATGAGTTAAAAGTGCAATTAGTTTTTTTTTTAAATAGTACTTAACATTATTTATAAACACCAAAACTTTTTATCAGGGTAATTAATCACTTCAGATAAACCTTCATAATTCAGGTTTATAGTAAGTCTAAATAATAACTTTAACAAAGATCGTAGTAAAGTATTTGTCATATTCGATTAAACCATTCTGATAATATAATTATTTTCTAATATTGTACATATAACTTATTTAACCAATTATACAAAGCTGCTTTAGAAAATGAAAACCTCATGTGCATGTATTATTAGCATTTCCCCTATATTGTATTGATTGGTTAAATCAGGCAAAACATGAGTATCTCATAGCTCTTCTAATTATGGAAACCACTTTCTCTTTCTTTATGACCTCAACCGCACTATTTTTTCGAAAAGAAAAAAAAAAAAAAAAAAAAAAAAAAAAAAAAAAAAAAAAGATGATAGATTGTCCATATACATTATCTCTTCCATAATTTTCTATTTTCCATTCAATTTTCTTCCCCAAAATGGCTTCTGGAATTTATTGATAAATAAGAGTATTGTATACGGTCAAAAATGAGTTT